ACCCCTCGATATGGTGCGCACACGCCTCATCATCACCCCCATCTCATCCTCTCCACGATCTATATACCCATGCCTCTCTCTTCTGCCCTCTTTCTCCGTCGCCCCCAGCCTCCTTCCAGCTACCATAATGCACGCCTGCGTCCCCACTCTCATTTCCTCCTCAACACCGCTCTTCCTCCGTTCAACGCTCAGCATCGACCCTATTCTTACACCGACCACCTACTCCTTCAGCACTTTCCTCTCCTCCATATCCGAGCTCTTCATCCGCCTTCCTCTCGAGACCGTCCTTCGCCGCGGCCAGGTCGCCGCACTCCAGGACCACGAAACCCAGCGTCTGGCGTCTGAGTACCAGGCCCCACCCAGCCGTGCTAAGAGCCCGGCGTATGGTCTAGACAAACCAAGCTCTTCTGACCAGAGCTTCAAGACTATCGTGGAGCCGGGTCAGTACAGGGGTGTGCTGGGCACTATGTGGTTCATCGCTCGCGAGGAAGGCATCAGTGTTTCTACACCGAATGCTGCTAAGGCGGCGAGTGCAAAAGCGATGGGTTTCTCTAGGCCGCCGCGTACAAGGAAGGGTCAGGGTATGCATGGGTTGTGGCGTGGATGGAGAGTGGGTGTTTGGGGGCTGGTGGGGATCTGGGGTGCTGCTGCGCTTGGAGGTGGCGGCGGTGAGTTCTAGACTGTGATATTGCAAGTTAAGCACTAGGCCCTTGAGCGATGATTTTACTTGGTAGATTATGTTGTTTTGTCATGATGTTCGTATGCGCTTGTTGGGCGATGCTATTTACACCACTCTTAGCTGATGTTGAACGAATGTTCTCTGTTCACCCAACTTGTTGTTCCAAATATTTCCTAAATTCTTGCATCATGTGATCTAATTCAATAAATCTCCCCGCTATGCTATGGCTGTGTAGCCCTACCAGATTGGGTGGTGTGGTGCTTGTTATTTTTCTAAAAACTAACAACGGTATCTAGAAATGGAAAGTCTGACAGCGCACGGCATGCCAACTCACAAAAGCGGGGCGATTGTACCACGTAAATGTCGCAAACGCAATACAAAGCTGTCAAAGATGCTCTCACAGAAATATGCTATCATGGCTTAGCAGTAAAGCCCAGCACGTAGAGGAGTGTCCCAGATGCCCCGATCAATGGTTTTGCTTGTCTTGACTGGTCTAGCCTAAAGGGGTCTAGCGGTTCCCCTACATGGAAGTACCGTACCACCTCACTTCTTATCAGCCACCACCACGTGTTGATTGTGAGCGTCAGCTTCGGTTGGCGCTTCAACTATGGTTCACTAAAGACATCGAAGCAAGAGAAAATTTCGACACATAGACTTCCATCGTTCATACACGCATCGAAGCTATCGCAATCATAGCGTATACCAAAGTACCATCTCAATGACCTACCCGAAGGACCAGACCGCAGTCTGAGTCAAAGCGTACTCGGTTCGTCATTTATACATGCACGCCTGGGAAAATCTACCAATATGTCAAATCCCTCCTCGCTTTCAATCCACCCAGCCGACAATGATGAACTCTCAACTATGGTCTCACAGGTAAACTTGAGCGGCAATACAGTCAGAGTCGCACATAGCGCTGATGTCACAGAGATAAAGTTTTTGGAAAGAAATCTACCGATTCGCCCCATGAGTATTCAGTCAGCAAGTCGCTTGCTCTCACTGCCCTCATAAATACGCCTGTTGATATGCCATCACATGCATACCTCGCCCGAGCTTGGTATCGAGTTCATTGCGGCATTCTTCAGCCGCAGGCAGCTGCAGAAAAATATGTTGGACGAACTTAATCCTGCCTTCGATCTCGACAACTACGTCAACGAGCATGCAGAACCCTGTCGCCACGAGCCAAGCATGTTTGTCGGTGTGGTACCACCCACGCCTCGATCTCACATCTTACGGCGTGTGACAGTATTTGCACGAGTACTGCGCACGGATCGAGGATCCCGCTGTTGCTATAACTCAGTCGCTGGGCTTTTCCCTCTATATCTGAACGAACTCAATGTGAGACTAGCTCCTCACAACCATGCAGATGACTACGACGAAGAGTTTCTTTACGGCGACATGAAGTCAAGGCCGAATCGCCTTTTTTATGATCATGTAGTGGAAGGCAAAGTGAACTCCGAAAACATGAAGCTCAGCCTTCCTGGTCCACAGAAAGAGGATGATGGAAGAGATAAGACAACGCGCCCCGAAAATATCATCATACCAGGCACAGAAATCTTGTACGGCATGCATATTACGGAGGATAAGGCGGGTGCCCAGACTGAGAGAACATGCGGTTCCGCCCAACGACAGAGGGATCAGGGGGCGCAGTGGCCACGCGCTGAACGGCATGGATTCCAGGAGTTCCATCAATGAGAATATCGGATACAACGAAAGCGAGGCGCTCGCGTTCGGCTCACTACCCGAGCGTGCTGGTCGAACCCGAGGAAAAAAGACCCAGCCAAACGGAGTGTTTCCTTGTGAAATGACATGAACTGGGTTACATGTCACAACTAGCTGTTCCTTGAACAGCCCCACTCCGTTCCCTTCTCTTGCCAGATGAAACGCATTGCAGTGAAATTTCTGCCTTATCGCGTATCTAACGTATCCAATGCTCATGCACCGCAGATTGTGTACCACACCTGGGCAACACAAGGAAACGCTATCCGGACGTTGCAATCAAATTTCCGGCTTGTCACGCCACAAGAGACTTCAAGAGTTCTCACAGAATCTCACAGAATCTCACATAACTTGGCACCTGTCAGCGGGTCTATCGCGGTCACTCTCTGAACGATCTGATATCGTTTGCGCGCAGCTCCCGACGTCCATGTTCTGCTCCACTAGCGGGTCCGACATGGTGGCAACGACGGCGGTCGCGCAAACTTTCCACACGGCATGCTAGGCATCGGCATCGGGTGGAGCTGGTGTTGACAGACAGCGGCCCGTACGTTACGAAGTATAACCACCGGCACTCAACTCCTGGTCCGTGCACGCAACCACCGAATCACAGCCATGGAATTCCTCTTTCTAACACTTTTCTGGACGAAATGGGCGTCGAGTGTTTCTAAACGAAACGGCGCTACGCCTGTCAAGCATTTCACACAGGAGACCAGTGTTTCGCCACATCGCGGACTGCAATGAAGTGTCAGTAAACGACCTTGGCAGGACCCGTAGAAATCACATCCGCATTGACTTTACTTTCCGAACCAGCAGCTTCCGTGCCTCCTTTCAATGAGTCGCATGTTTTCACAAGCGCTGCTATGCTTAGAACGGCCTAAGGATCACGGTCATGTCCACTTCCCAAGCGATCCAGAACACCCACAATCACGGAAGGAAGACTGTAGTTGTCGATGAAACCTGCGTCCTATCTCCTGGAATTGCTACAACGGGAAATTGTCGTCCGTTGGAAACCAGGTCACCGGTGTCTAGGCGCCTGGCTTGCATGAAGATGTTTGGTACAATGCGTGGAGGACTTTTGATATAAGAATCAGGACGACCGTCCAACATCTACAACTCATCAGCAAGCAATACATTCGTTTCAATCGCTTTCTACACTCGCTTTTCAGCACTTTACATTCGTTCCTTCACTTCTTTTTACCAATTACTACACAAGTTTCATTACTGCTAGCCAGAATGAAGTTCTCCGCCTCCGCCATCGTTCTCAGCGCCGTCGCCCAAGTGGCCACCGCCCACTACTTCTTTGACACCAACCTCATCGGTGGTGTTGCCCAGCCGCAATTCAAATACGTCCGCCCTTCTACTCGCAAGGTCGCGTACAACCCCATCAAGTTCTCCTCCAACCCGGCCGCCGACATCCGTGATGGCTCCACCGCCGACGGTCCCGACATCGTCTGCAACCAGGGTGCCGCTAAGACTGGTGGCAAGGTCCAGGTTCTGACCGTCAAGGCCGGCGACGACGTTACCGCCAAGCTCGGTGTTGGTGCCAAGTTCCAGCACCCGGGCCCTGCCCTGGTCTACATGTCCGCTGCTCCCGGCAGCGTCCAGTCTTACGACGGATCTGGCGACTGGTTCAAGATCTTCGATGAGGGTGACTGCGGCAGCGGTGACTTCACCAGCAACTCCTGGTGCACCTACAACAAGGACACTGTCACTGCCACCATCCCCAAGGACACCCCCGACGGCGAGTACCTCGTCCGCTTCGAGCACATTGGTGTTCACCGCTCCCACGTCAACCAGCCCGAGCACTACGTCTCCTGCATGCAGGTCAAGGTTACCGGCGGTGGTAGCGGCAAGCCTGGCCCCATGGTCAAGTTCCCCGGTGCTTACAAGGCCACCGACCCCTACGCCAACTTCAGCATCTACAACGGCCGCAAGGCCTTCCCCATGCCCGGCCCTGCTGTCTGGAAGGGCGGTGCTGCCGCTGGTGGCTCTTCCTCTGCTCCCGCCAAGGAGGAGGTCTCCCCTGCCCCTGCCGCCCCCGCTGCCCCTGCTAAGTCCACCATGGCCACTGTTGTCGCTCCTGCTCCTGCTGCCCCTACCAAGGAGGCTGCCCCCGCTGCTGGCTGCGCTTCCATGTACGGACAGTGCGGTGGCAAGGGCTTCACCGGTGCTAAGTGCTGCGCCAAGGGTAGCTGCAAGGCTGCCAACGACTGGTACTCCCAGTGTGTCTAAGAAGCTAGCTCGTGTGCTAGATTTACTCGGAGATTTGTGTATACTTCCCATTCTTTGTGTCTATAAGCGAGGCGTTGCATTAGTGAGCCTCTGTTTTCTTGGGCACGGGTTCTCTAGTAGAACACCCCTTTAACTTTCTGCTTGCCTGGTTGATGTGGTTCAATCCTGTATCATAGCAATGTCACATCATTAGTCTTTATTCCAGATTCCCTTTGCCTGTGCATTTTTCGTATGAGAGTGAATAAGAATACTTGAGACAGGTGTACAGGAATGTAAAGGTTCTTCCCATCTCTATAGCCATCTGCCCAAATTATGGGCCTTGATATTCAGCGAAACCTGGAACGATAGAGGCATGTACTAATGACACTATTCAGAACTCGAATGGTTGACCATTAATCGACAAAGGATCCGAGTAGATTTGCATCGATTCCAACTTTTCTTTCCAGTCTGCTTGGTCCTTGGGAAGATCATGCGCATTTTCGATGCGATCTAGTATCTCCTCGTACAGCTCAGCTGGTAGTCGTCGACCAAAAGCCAGGTTGAGATTCCGTCGATGCTCTCGCCGCAAATCGCGCGACACGAGTGGTAATAAGGCATTGATGAGAGGTCCCTGGAAATGGAGGGCATTCATACCTGACAAGGACATATCAAATTAGTTGATGTGATTACGTGTTTAAGTTGATATCTTACCGAATGTTTCACCCGTGATGAAATAGTTTAGATAGAGAAACGCATGGGCACAGTCCAGCGGGCGTTCTGGATACGGCTCGGCTCTGGGCTCCTGGCTCAGTAGAATTTGGAGGAATGCCTCTATTTCATCGACCGGCACGGAGCGCTCGAACAAGTTCAGTCGCGCTATTCCCAAAACGTCCATGCGCAATAGAAGAGCAAGTGGAAAGGCTCTGACATTGCCGCGCGGTACCTGGGCCATTCGCTTCAACTCGAGACAAACGCGTGATGTAAAACGCGCTATGGGGATGTCGACGTTTGGGCTGAGTCTGTAACCTGCGAACCATGCGTAGTCGTCGTCGTCAAAATTAGAGTCCAAATCGTCTGAATCACTGACTTCTGATGCTAAGTCCCAGTCATCGCCAAAATAGGTATCGATAACATCCACAGCAGAGCCCAGGTATTCATGACGTCCAGGGGTATCGAGCCTTTTCATGACAGCGATCCAAAACGACGCAGCCATCTTATCTTCGCCTTTGTTTGAGAGATGTTTGTATTGAACAAGGCTGATTCTTACACCGAAACTGGCGAACAGGAGTTGAGATTCCAAGTAAAGAGCCCAGCTTTTGAGTTGGAGTGGGGTTCAGTGAGACACCGGCGCATCTTCTTCTAGTGGGTTTTCTGATCATAGCAATAAGCACATATCCAATATCTTAGTAGGTGAAAGCTTTTCAACATACCTTTGCTTGTCAGAGGCGAATCGGCCTCCCAATACCGCTCTCTGGCAAGATCACGGACTTTGCCGGAGGCTCCTCCTTGGGTCTTGAGATCTGTACAGAGTTGCTCCAGCTCAAGCACGAGATCGTGTGTAATGTATCGCAATCTGACATGGTGAGCACACTTGCGCGCCGTCTTCCACCGATCAAGCAATTGCGATTTGTCACTCGTGTCTCCGAGCTCTTTGCATACCCTCACAAGGTCTTTCAGTGTGCGCGTCTTTCGCGTCTTTGGTGTCTTGCTATGAGAATCGCGTCTTTTGCGTTTGCCGTTGCCTTTGCTAGACAATTCGGCGGTTTGAGCTGAAACAGACGTAGTAGTAGGAATACCACCCGCGCTGGCGAGACGTGCCCGATTAGCTTGGATGAGTGCCGATAGTGAAGCGGAAAAAGCCTCGAGTCTCCCGGTGCCCGATGGTACGTTCGTAGATGAGCTGGCTTGCATCGTGATCGCGAAGTGGTATATATATTTAATGAATGTTTCAGGTGTGCTGAGCTGCTCGTGCGGGTCTCAAACGTAAGCTTAGATATGGGAGAAGATAGAGATCAAAACTCGTAAAGAGTAGCCGCAAACATCGTGGATAAGGCCGTCTTATGACTGGAGAGACATGTCGGATACGATTACTGTGCCGCAGTGCTGAATGCATGCTAGGCTACAATAGGCAATCCCTTGTTGCCCAACCCCGGTCCCCGCGGATGTCGACATGCGATTAGGTGGCTACCAATTGAGCTTCATACCACGGCAGACTTCATCTGATGGTGTTTTGATTGTGAAGTGATAACGTGAGGAACCATTACTTAGGGAGGCGCGCCGGAGGATACCTAGGTAGCCTTGCTGGCACGTGCTGGGTGTGACGTCACAACTCCCGAGGTCTAGTCCGTCGAGAACACGCGCCCGCCAACAGCTGGGGCATCCGCATCACTCCGGGTTTGTCGAATGGATTTCCATTCTCATTCAATCTCAAATTTGTTGCACATTACGACCGACAGCAAATGGCCTCATACTCGAGGACTACTAAGATGCGGTAGTGTCGGCGATCGCGAGATCCCACAGCCCATACATTACCGGGAGTGCAGATACCAAAAAGTCAAATCAATACATCAGAAGCAGAGCGTAATTGCTGATCGCACGTATTGCCCCACTGTTGACCCGTTTCGCCTTCTGCTAATGTAAATCTTCTTTTGCCTTCGCTACCTAGGGACGAGGTCGTTTCTCGCCTGTTATTCAATGCGAAATCAGTGAAAGTCCGGCGTAGTGCGTGGTGCCTGGGTTCTGCCCTAGGCTGCTACACAGCTAGCTAGCCATAAACACTACAGATTCCCCTAAAGAGAACATCGGTGTAACAGCGCAGATAATCTTACTATTCCACCACATAATGTCAACCCATAGTGTGTCCTCAGTGGCTGTCACGGATTCCCCTTTTCACGGTCGCAATGTGTCTCACACCAACACGGACGACGTAAAGGCCGCTTCATTGTTAGGCCTACCAGCTGAGCTACGCCTCAAAATGTACGCCGAGATGTCGCCTCCTCTCAACGGCCATATCGCAGACTACCAATCTTTTTTCCTCTCTTGCAAAAGGCTCAAGGCTGAAGCCGAAATCGAGGTTGTCCGAAACATGCAACACTTCCTCAAAGACGTAAAGAGTACCTGGGACAAGACATATGGCGCACCGCTCCGCATCAATATCCCTATTCAGGTCGATCAGATCACACATGTCGAGATCGGAATCCCGACGTCAATTCTGCAAAAACCGGATACGTTTGCCAGGTTTCCAGCCGCTTTTGCGCTCTTGCCTTCCTTGTATATCGCTCGTCTCACGTTTATATTCTATGACGATAAAGACGGCTGGGAGGACATCACTTCGTTTGCTCATAGAGAGCGCGCCCTCGGTTTTTTTCGATTTGAAGATCATTTATCAGATATGGTGACGAGAGACATGAAGCTCTGCCTCGACAACGATACCGAGTCACCCCACGCTTCCGGCAGCAATGTCGATGAAATCAGATTCATCTGGGAAGATTCGCTGAAGTCAGTCACGAGTACTTCTTACTCTGAGAGGGCCAAGGGTCTTGGATATATGGGAGCCTATGAGCTTTGGTACCTAAGGAAATCGACAAGTTCTCGTGGCATCTTTGGTTTTTTCTGGAAAAGGAAGCAGCCTTAAACGTACTATCCAGTATCGCAAGAGGAACTTGGCTGTGTTCGCAGTTCTATGTGTTATCAGCGGTCTACGCACGGACTCGATGTTTAGCACCAGTACATGCTACATCTGACTAGCAGATATAAGACATCAGAAGCTAGTGTCTTGGGGAGTACTTTCCTGTCTAGAGCCAAATGGAAACATCGTAAGCAAACAACATGAAACACCACAGTATTGTCAATACTACTAGCTTCATTGCAACCATTCAGATTTCGAATACGCGCTGTGTTCTTGGTAGACGTTGGGCATAGAGCAAAGAACTTTGAGTGTATGGAATATAACATCGCGGTATGTTTCAGCTTCTGCTCTTCTCCGGCTTGACCTCCAAAGCATACTTACAGCATCACGCTACGAGCATTAATAGACTAAGTACTCAAGAACAGTATGGACGCGGAAGACCCAAGCGAGCCTGGCGTTAGCAGTCGCTCTGTGCTTGCAATTGATCGACCCACCGAGAAGCTGGACATAGCGGGTCATACTCGACCCCTCGGCAGTGAGTCAGCTATGAAGGATAGCTCGCCTGCTACGAAAGGTACGACACAGTCTGCCGGGAACCTCATTAACATCACCGAGCTGTTAAGCCTCTCGTGCTTCCAGACAACCGCTACAGGAAAACCTCACTAGTGAAATCGCCTGACTTGAACGTTGGTAGCGAAGGCCCATGAAGCATACTATACTGAAATGCATGCAACAAACAGAGGCATGTAGCCGAGATAGTGGTCCAGAGCTTTTGGCTTGAATGACATGTGAAAATCAGTCTTGCCGAAACCGTTGATTGATGAAAGCCGTGACCGTCTATGACTGCTCCGCTCATGAGCTCGGGAGCAGCGTACCCGACGGTAGCGCCGCGGATCTGTAATTGTCAGAGCTCTGGAGCGAATGAACCTTAATTTACCCGGCAATATCTCCAGCTGCAACTGACACAGTAAGCAAGGTGCACATTGTGATAAGCAGCCAGGTATGGCAGGTCAGTAATAAAGTTGACGGATGTGGGCATGCAAGTCGTGTCGTGCGACATAGCGTGCGCGAATGGCCGCGCGCACGGAAGCGGGGCATCTCCTCCAAGCGACGGCGCTTTCCCGGGTCGATCATCACAAATAGTATATGACGGCCCCTGTGTTGACATGGGATGCCGTCCATCGCCCCTTGCTTCTGCTTCGATCATATCTACCATGGCAGACTCAAGCCAAGAGGCTGAGCCTCACGGCCTTTTTACCTTTTCACATTTCGCCGCTGCAGCAATCACCTACCTGATCGTCGCAAGTGCTTACCACTTCTTCACAGCACCATCACCACCATCGGACATACCATGGATGGGCTACGGCAAAGGCTGGATCGCCGACTTTCGCAACTTTACTGCACTGACGAAGAGTAAAGAATGGCTGTTGGCCGGTTACAACAAGTACAGCCGCGATGGCAAGATCTTTGTGTTACCCGCGACTCTTGGCATGCAGGCTGAGATTGTTATGCCTCAAAGTCAAATGCGCTGGATGTTTGATCAATCAGATTCTGTACTGAGTGCGCATCAAGCGCATTACGATTCCCTGCAGGGCGATTATTCGTTCATCAACCCTTACATCTTGAAAGATGCCTACCATGAACATGTCCTTCACAAGAGCCTTTTTCGAAATCTCACTGCGATTATACCGGGCCTCGAAGAAGAGGTGCCACGAACGATTGCCGATGTTTATGGAACAGATACAGAGAACTGGAAAAAGTTGGACGTCCTGGAGTCTTTCATGGAGATGATTCCCGTATTGACCAACCGCATGCTTCTTGGAGAGTCACTGTGTCACGAGAAGAAATTCTTAGAAGCGGTACTGAGCTACACCAAAGACGTCATTCGCAATCAGGCTATCATGTTTCTTGTCCCAAAGGCGCTGCACCCCATCGTGGGAACGGTCTTAAGTCTGCCTGTCAAGTACCACTACTGGCTGTCTTCGAAGTTCACAATACCCATGATCAAGCAACGTATCTCGGATTTCGAGAAGAAAGATGCCGGAGATCCTGAGTACAAGAGTTGGAAAGAGCCGAATGACTTCATCACATGGAGCTACAGGGTTGCGCAGGCCGAGGGACGACCCGAGGAGATGCAACCCGACCGTATCGCTAAGCGCGTCTTGCCCCTCAACTTCGCCAGCATACACACAACGTCGATTACCGCTTTCGAAACTATTGTCTGCATACTAGGCTGTGAACCAGAAGTTGTCGAACAGTTGCGCGAAGAAGCGCATCGCATCTTCCAAGAGGAGGGAAGTTGGACGAAGAATGCTCTTAGCCGTATGTACCGCATCGATTCCGCTATCCGCGAATCACAGCGTGCCTCGCCCATCGGCCTTACGTTTGTACACCGCAAGGTTGTAGCGAAGGAGGGTGTCACAACACCGGAGGGTGTGCATCTGAAGTGCGGAACGCTCTTTTCATGTCCATGGGGGGCGATGGCTCTCGATACGGACATGACCGAGAACCCAGAAGAGTTCGACGCGTTCCGATACTCGCGTCCGAGAGAAGAATACGAGGCGATGAGCGCGGAGGAGAAACAA